TACTTATGAAATTAGCTTTTCAATATCTTTGTATAATATGTCTGTAACTTCGGTTCCAAATTGATATATAAAGTTGGTTGTTTAATATATACATTAAAAATTAGCTGTTCACTAACGTTGTTGGTTTGAAGCAAGTCGTTTTATTAACGTTTAAAATTTCAAATAGCGATATTGATAATTGATTACTTGCTAATAATTTTATTTTGTAACGAAAAAAAGAGAGTTTATGGGCGATGTATCTAATTTGGATCGATGTTAAATAATCGGGAAAACGGCAGCTTCATTAGCTAACAAAATTTGTAAGTTTTGCTAATTTTCTAGATTATATCCTACATAAATATGACTGATATAAACACAAAATCATTTGATCTCTCTTATTTTTCTTAGAGAATATTGTCATGTTTTAAATTCTAATAGGCAAGGATAATTTGATTGTGTAAGCAATATTTAATTTAACAGACCGATTAACAATATGTATGTAATTTTTATTGAATTGAATAGGGGAAAAAAATAATTCATAGTTTTTTTTTGGCAACAAAATACATTGTGAAGTTTGAATCTTGATGGAGAATAGTGATGTAGTTGACGGTACTAACACAATTACATTACTACATCTTTATGGGTTTTCTTTATAAAAACTATGCTACATATATTTGAAAATAAAATTATTTTTAAAATTAATTGATTTATGTTTTTAGTATAGTAGATCATGCATAATTTTGTATACCATCAATCCTTCGTAACATGTTTCTTAAAAAAATACTCCGTTATAGTTATTATGATGTATTCATCTTGAAAGAAATTTACGCTAAATTTATAACATATCTAATACATCAAGGATTTAAAATTTAATTTATAACATATCTAATACATCAAGGATTTAAAGTTTGAACACTGACGTCACTAATACTTCCTCCGTTCCATGAAAATTGATGTTTTGACTTTTTCACATAAATTAAAAAATAATTAGTTGTAAGTTATTAATGCATTACATTTTTAATATTAACTATTTTTCAATATATATTAACTAATAGTAATTCAGAATTTAAATACTTTTAATTAATGTTTCTTGAAGTTTGCAGAAAGTATCATTTAA